CACATACACACACACCAGCAGTACTTCCTGCACAGCGGGAGGGAAGGAGGGAAAAAAAATGCAGAAAGGCAGCGGGGCAGCTGCAGCCCTAACGGACTGAACTTCATTCAAACAAGACCCAACACTTTTATTCCTGATTTAAACTAGCGATCTTGTTAGCAGCTGCAGCTGTATGCTTTTATTTTTTTATGTTAGGCTGTCGCGGAGCGCTCCTCCTCTGTCCGAGGCTGGTGTGGTGTGAGGCGGACAGCTCACTGCTGGAGCTCAAGGTCCTGACCCAGGGAGCCAACACAAGTCAGTCCCAGACTGAGCTGACTTGATCAAGTCTCTCTCTGCCACTAACAGTAGCTGTGTTTCCATTGATCATGAAAATGCGCAAATTAGAATTTCGAAAACAAATTTGTTCAATAGAAACACGTCAACTTAAAAAAATTACGTTTTCCGACAAAATGTTTTTGCGCTAGGATGAGGTGGAATTTCAGCCGTATCGAAATTGGTGTTTTTCGCAAAACTGCAATGGAAACCCTTTTGTCGCATCACGGGAGTCACGTGACCAACAACCGGCTGTTTCTACTGGTGAAAAAGACGAAGAAGATAACAGGAAGTAGAAATAGTAGTAATATCACAGAAGTAGTAAAATAAAGTAGTAAACTCACCGACTACAATTTCCCAAAAACACAGCATACATAGCTGCTCCCAAGTAGGGACTTGTCGCTGGAAAGCCTCGATAAAACACGCCGACGTCTCCTCTGATGATGAGCGCTAGTGTTGTGGTAGCAACATGCTTTGTGTTTACATCCATTGCCGCCATGATTGTAATGACTTATCGCGAGAACAAATGTATTCACGTGTGACTTTAATAGCATTTCTTACTTAATGGAAGCACCGCAGTTGCGAAACTGTTTTTTCAACATTAACAGAATATCAACAGTTTTGTACACATTTGCAATGGAAATGCAGCTATTAACAGAGCTCTACATGGTATTGCGTGCATAGAAACAGCGTTTTAACATGTCCTCTTATAAACACTGGAAAGTACTATGATTAAGACTAATTGTGAAATAAATACTCTAATACAGAAATATTACAAGTGAAAGTAAGTGCGTTTTACTCACTGCTTAGTTGTACTGAGTAGCTGCCATCTTGAATTCTGAATTCCCACCAGAGAGGCAGTCCAGTTTAAATTTTCAACTTGTAAGTGAGAAATTTACACTTCCCAGTACAACTGTGCCGCAGCAAAAGTAGCCAGCAAAAATGTAGGGAAGTGGAGATTTTACATGGGCTGTGTCTCAATTCACGGGCTGCATCCTTATGAGTGCACATTTGTCAGCTGCATACATCACTGCCCCGTGCGGAGTGCTGTCCCAATTCGAAGGCTCCTCCTCATGCGGCCGAGGAATGTGGCCCACAAAATCTCGAAAATCTAAGATGCATCAGAGCATCCTTCCTGACCGAGGATATCCCAGGATTCAATGCACCTACAGCAAAATAAACAGAAACAAAGAATGGAGGTTTTTTTTTAACGAGTTGGCGTAGTTTGGAAATTCATCACAGACCGAATAATTTGTTTTTAAAAGTAAGTTTAGCAACTTAGCTGATGAAAATRATGCTGCAATAAGATGTTAAATAAAATGCAACTACAAGTACTGATGCTGGAGCTATACCCAAATTATTGTTTATTTTTATTTTATTTTATTTTTGTTTGTAACGTTACTGTGAAGTTAATCTTCCAGTGAAAGGATATCCCAATGCTAACCGGTAGCACGTGGTCACGCAAACACGTCAAGCAGCTAGATTGCCTCATTTCACAGCAGTTTCATGCAGCCTACCCAGACTGGGAAGGACGTGGCCCAGCTGGGCTGCATACTCAGGAGGATGCAGCCCGTGAACTGAGACACAGAGGTGGTGAACTTTGCTGGCTGAACCCTGTGCACCTCCACCTAAAGGTGAGATAAAGTCATTTTGCTGGTAAAATAATCAACATACATTATGGGAGGTGTAGTTTGTGGTCAGTAGCCCACATTTGGCAGGTGGGCCTCGAGTTTCACTCTTGTGTTTCTTTTCTGTCATCACTTCCTGTTTCACTTTGGTCGCGCCAAGTTAAAAATTAAAAACATGCCAGTTATGTCCTGATGCATCTCAGTAATCCAGGTAAAAAATCAAAGGAAAAAAAATTGTATAGGTCCTCTGGACGGGTTCTTCTTTAATGAAACGTTTCGTCTCTCTTCCAAGAGACTTCTTCAGTCTGAGAGTTTCAGGCAAAATTCAGGCTGTATGAGTCCTTTAACAGCTTTATCCTACAACCGCCGATAGCTGGGGCTGTGATTTCCTGAAACAGACCTTTGGCTCCTGGTGTAAAAATTAAAAAGTTATTGAGGAT